TATTGTCAATTTTGATGTAACATTACATAATAAATTATAGAATAATTATCACCAATTTTTGATTATTGACTATAAATAGCATGGACATGTAGAAAATTTGATTACCATACGGCTTCATGTCCATGAGAGCTCCGAGTCCCACAATGAATATGCCAAAAAGATAATGAATATTTCACTAAAATGTATAACTACCAGAAAAAGAAGCCAGTTAGACTGCTTTTCCAACTCGGGCTGCATTTTAGTCATGTGTTTCTTTTTTGAAAGTTTGACAATCATAAGTAACACGGTTTTCCCATAATGGTCATCATGGCAGCAGCACCAAAAATGTATTTTCTTCTATTTTGATGCAACATTACATAATGCTTAACAGCATAATGACCATCAATTTTTAATAATAAAATATACGTGTCATGGATTTTCAGAAAATGTGACTAGTATTGGTCTTCAAGCCCGTGGAGGTTCTAAGTTGCACCTTGAAATTGCCAATAAGTGAAAAATCAAATTTTCACAAAAAAACTGTTTAACTGCCAGAAAAAATTACCAAACAGACTGCATTGCCTACTGAAGCTATATTTTAGTCCCATGTTTCTTTCCTGTAAGTTTGAGAACAGTAAGTGACATGATTTTCCTTAAATGGTCATCATGGGAGCAGTGCCCAAAATAGGGGTTTCTTCAAATTTTGATGCAATATTACATAATGTTTAACAGCATAATGACCATCAATTTTTAATCATAAAATATTAGTATCATGGATATTCAGAAAATGTGACTAGCAAAGGTCTTCAGGCCCATGGAACTTCAAAGTCACATCTTGAAAATGCCAAAATGTAAACAAGACAGCACTGTTCTGAAATGGGTTTATTTCCATTTTTAACATTTTCTTAACATAAAACAAAATAAACATTTTACTGCCATTTTTATATGACCAACTAAGAAAATTGATGAGATGGGAAAAATATCAATAGAACAGTGTTAAATGTCCAATTTCCTCCATTCTGAGATTCTGAACATAGTGGATGATTGAATCTGACAAACTGCAATGATATGAGTTTATTTCCATTTTTGACACTTTATTACACAATACACAATAACAAGTTTACCATCATTTTTACATAATCAATTAACAATGTTGTAAAGATGCAGGAAATATTTAACAAACACTTTTACATATCTTATTAGTTCAATAATGAGACTGTTAACATGCCTAACAATTGAATCTGAGGAATTGTGAAAAAACAGCATAACTTCTAAAATAATGGCCCGATTATGCTGATTTTCACACTCATCCTACGTTTTAGTAAGATTGACCAGTCCTGTGAGTATAATGACAATTTGCCCATCTGTTTTTCTTATATTGTGGTATCAGTGCTGCATATATGCTGAAAAAAGTGAAAAAACAGCATAACTTCCCTTAAAATGGCCCGATCATTTTCGAACTTGACCTGCGTATTATAAATATTCATCAATTCTGTAAGTTTCAAGCCAAAGGATAAAACGGTATTTCACTTATCTTGTTATCGGTGTTGCATATATGCTGAAAAAAGTGAAAAAACAGCATAACTTCCCTAAAAATGAACCCTAAAAATGAACCGATCATGCTGATTTTCGAACTTGACCTGCGTATTATGAATATTCATCAGTTCTGTAAGTTTCAAGCCAAAAGGTAAAATGGTTTTCCACTTATCGTGTTATCGGTAAAAGTGCAAGGCTACGACGGCGCCAACGGCGACGACAGACGCAGATGATGGCTATATGTACAGACACATCTGTGTCTGTACATAAAAAGTGTGGCCTAATGATAAAAACTAATCAGACTGACTTTAATCTTAGCTCCGATGCACATTTTAAGTACTTTCATAAGTATTTAATTGTGAAACATTGTTAAGTGATAACAATTTAATTAGTTTGAAAACACTTTGCTGTGTTTAATAAAATTTTTGATGTATTTCTGCCTAATCATTCTGTAGCAAAAACATTTTTAAGTTCTTAAAAGAATAAAATGAAATTCATCCTCAATGTCATCTAAAATACGTATAATTTTCGGTACAAAGTTTACAGGTTCTTAATTTTTATTTGTGTCTGTTTACCTTCCAGTTTCTACAGCTGGATTGTGATGAAAGTCTAAATTTGGCAATTAATTCCTTATATATTTCTGTGAAATTGGCTTATTTAAATAGAATTGCACTGTAAAATTATCAACAAGATGTTGGAACAACAGCCCTTTACTCCTTGTGGATATTTCTCTAGTCAATGTTTGTCTAAAATTATCTTTCAATCTTTACTCTATCAAGGATGGTATAAAATTATCTAACATATTTTTGTGAAAAATTAATGGGAAGCCAAGTGTCTCCAGTTCATTCCATACTCAAATTACCCAATCAAAAATTTTTGTTAAGTAGATCTTTATAGCACGCTGTTATATTACAATTTTTCAAGGAGCGTATTTAAATCAATATTACAAAATTGTAACTTTATACTTGAAAGAAGTGGGTATCTCCCAGTTTCATAATATACTAAGTTATGTACAATAAACTAAGTTATCACTAGTGCTCTTTTTTACACCCAATATTCTTGTATCTGTATGTGCCTTTCTTATATCCCTCACCATGTTAAATCTCCATGCATAAATTAAAATATACAAACATACGTATCAAATGCTGCACATTTAGTGAACACATTAAAGTAATGATTTTTTTAACACGCTACTAATAGCAAACAATGCTTTTTTACCTTGTTCTGCTATAAATGTTTGGGTTTGACAAAACTTACAAGTTTGCAAAAAGTTTTGCATACAGATGCAGAACTTGCATTTCAAATTATAAAATTTTAAATCTTTTAAATTATTTAATATTTCAGTTGAAATACCCTTCAGAAACCAATGCTCAAAGAACACAACACTTATTTCGTTAAATTACGATCACGAACTATTTTATTACAGCAGTTCCTATTCTTTTTACCTCCACCAAGGAGGTTATGATTTCACCCCTGTTTGCTTGTTTATCCGTCTGTCTGTCATCAACATAAGTTATTAACTCAAAAAGATATGGATGAATTTCGATGGAATTTTCAGGGTAGGTCAGAAATGGGTTAACTTAGAAGTGATCAGTTTTTGGTGGTGATCCGGATCAATAATCAATCAGTAATCAATAATAAAAAACTAAGTTATGGACCAATGAAATTTTCAGGAACTGTCAGAAGTGGGCCAAGGAACAGATGATTAGTTTTTGGTGGTGATTCTATGGGCGGCCAAAAGGGCAAAAAATCCTGTCGTCGATTCAGTTATGTTTCGTAGATTCACTGCCTTCCCATCGATTCAGTTTCAAGTTTAATCGATCCTGTCATAAATTCAACATCTACTTTGTCAATTCAACTGTCAAACATTTCTCATCTACGGTGTATTAAAACCAATGCTGTCACTATTTTCGTCGATCGTGTAACTATTCTCGTCGATCGTCTAATCTCGTCGATCGTCCAACTAATCTCGTCGATCGTGTAACTATTCTCATCGATCGTCTATTCTCGTCGATCGTCTCATCGATCGATCGCCAGAGGGCGCTGCGGTNAAACAGCATAACTTCTAAAATAAAGGCCCGATCATGCTGATTTTCGAACTTGACCTGCGTATTGTGAATATCCATCAGTTCTGTTAGTTTCAAGCCAAAAGGTAAAATGTTATTTCACTTATCGTGTTATCGGTGTTGCATGTATGCTGAGAAAAGTGAAAAAACAGCATAACTTCCCTAAAAATGGCCCGATCATGCTGATTTTCGAACTTGACCTGCGTATTAGTAATATTCACCAGTTCTGTAAGTTTCAAGCCAAAAGCAAAAACGGTGTTCCACTTATCGTGTTATCAGTAAAAGTGCACGACGGCGCCGACGGCGCCGACGGCGACGACAGACGCAGATGATGGCTATATGTACAGACACATCTGTGTCTGTACATAAAAATGTATTTTAGAAATAATTTTCTAATATTAAACCAACATAAAGGTAAGATTATCTTTTTTTCTGAGATGATACAAGTACTGTACAAGCTAAGGCCACACTTTTTTATTTTTATGGATGACATCCTGTGCGCGCACCGATTTTCGCCCGTTCTCCAAAAAAAAAAAAAAAATCCCCCCCCCTCCAGCCCCCGAAGTCGGTTGTCGCAAACGTCGTTATTGAATTTGCCAGGAAATAAGCTTTCTGCGCATGCATATTATCGCCACGTGGAAATGTGGCCGCTTTGCCGTCAAATTCATCTCTAGGATTACTTTCAAATTACACTACAATAAAAGTCATAAAGAGAACGGGCGCCGTCGTTTGGGATTGGTATACCATTGATATTGGGCATGGAGATATCACCTTTTTACAATTATGCGAAAGGCTGGCGGCAGCCAGCGATTATCGCCCGAAAAATTTCTGTGACATTCTGTACAAAGCAGCACATACCAGGTTTTCTGTAGCGAAAAAAGGGTCGACAAGGGCGTCGAGGTATTTGGTGGGCTGAAGGTCGGACAGGCCACCTGACAGTTTGGCTGCTGCATGTGAGTCGAAGTAGACAAAATGGCATCGTCCGGAATGACCTTTAATAGATTTGGTAGTAGGCCCTATTAAGCATATCTTTGCATCATTTTTTAAACATTTCTGTGAAGTGTTCAAAGTGCTTTAATATTCTGAGAATACAAATAAAGACACACTGTTTGTTTGATATTTGTTTTATTAATTGCTATACCAACAAAATGCATGAAATAACCTTGAATAGATTTGGTAATATGAAGTATATCTATTTGTGACTTTTTTTTACATTTCTACAAAGTATTCGCAATGTTTTCATATTTTGAGAGCATGGATAAAGACATATTGTTAGTTTGATTCGTGTTTCTGTGGTAAAATTTGTGTTTCCAGCTGTGTACTGACAGCATTCCTTTACTTATGCAGTATTTTTTTTTTTGGACTGTTTTTTTTTTTTCGCCCTCTCGCACCGATTTTGGGGTACCCAGAGGATGTCATCCATAAAAATAAAAAAGCGTGGCCTAATCTACCATTACCAGTTTCCTTTGTAAACTTGAATTATTACTTGATTACTGATATACATACGAGTAAAAAACTTGGATTTTTAATATTTCTCCACGAAAATGAAGGCAGTGTCCACTCAGGAGTATTGTGGGGCGGAAGCTCTCTATAGCAGAAGTGGTGAGTGTGAGCACTGAGAACAAGGCGAGGCTGGATACTCTCTAGGAGCTGAAGGAAGAAATACAAAACAGCATCGCATTAATATAGGCTACCAAAACTGCTTTCCATATTCAGTTTCAGTTATGAAATATACATTATAGATATGGTAATTTCATAAGTTATTTATCTGTAAAACATATTTTTATCCATAAAGGGTACATCTTTCAAATTCCAATCACTGATTTCACTATTCTCTCACTTTGAATGTCTTAAAAACAAATTAATTTTTCCTCCATTTTCTTTCCAATTCATGTGAAAGAATGTTAACATAAGATATGAAAAATATGATATTCCATGTGGACTTTCTTAAGCACACAACTTATTTTCAAAATTAAACCATCCAGCTGCTTACTCTGTTTGATGCCTTTTCTGACAAACAGTCCACCTTTGGTCTAAATTTTACATATTTTTCTTCAATTGGAGCAGAGTCTGGACCTGAGCAATTAGCATCGGATGTCCTGTACATAGGAAAGTGCTGAAATAATGAAACAGATATTGCCTATTAGAGGTCCATCACCATGAAGAGAACACAGTCTAGGGAAGAACAGGACAATTAAAAAAAAAAAGCCCCTCAGTAGGCTTTCTGTTGGCTTCAAATTTATCTGAATGGAATATTTAGATAGTGGTCTTTTAAGTGTTGCTTCCTTTCTCTTGCACGCTCATGCACATTCTGAGACAAACTGAGACACATTCACATGCACATCAGCACATTATACCTGTAGTAGTATTGGTCTAGTATAGTATTTTGGGTCTTCCACTTCACAATGACCAGCAGTATATCTTCCCTGTCAAGAGAATGAAAACTGATAGCTTGTGAAATGTCACAAAGAATTAAACAATATAAAGTCTCTCATGCTTCTGTGGTCACCGTATTGTTACCACTCTATTTTCTGATACTACAATTAAAGACAGTTTTCAAATAGCATGAATTGTATAATAATACATATGCTGCTACTTAGAAAAGTCATGATAAATTATGCTGCTATATTTTTTTCCCTTTATTCTTAAGGGGAAGCTAATTAGATCAAGTGCTTCTTTACTCAACTGTGCTACAGAAATATAATATAATATAATATAATATAATATAATATAATATAATATAATATAATATAATATAATATAATATAATATATATTCATATGGCACCATTATTGTTCTCATATCTGTTTTTTTTTTTTTCTTACCAGCAATTTCGAAGAGAACTATTCCACTATCCTTTCCATTTAAGATGGAAATGCTAGTTTTAATTCAGGATCCTTCAAATGCTACCCTCTGTATGGAAATGCTGTAATTCCCTTTATAACATGGACCACTGCAAATACTACAGAGGTATGTTTATATTATGTACTGTATTTTGGACCTTCCCAGCCACAGAACTCTAATACAGAGACCTTGACTATTCTGCAAAATGCAGCTTCTCTAGCTTGTCTCAAACAAGGGTCTTGAATATCGTTCAGTCTCAGTTTAGTTTATAGAATAACAATTAACTGGACTATACAAGAAACAAGCTACATATACAAGAAAGAGAGCATTCACATTGAGAAGAGCCAAGGCCTAGCAAGGCCAAGACCTAAATATGGAGGACCTACATGAAAGGAAAACCACGTAATCCTTTAATGGTCTCTCAATGAATGTCAGGATTATCCTTTCATGTAGGTCTGCCATATTTCATGTAGGTCCGCCATATTCAGGTCTCGGCCTTGCTAGACCTCAGCTCTTCTCGATGTGAATGCTCTCATAGAAGCTTATGGTAGGCTATGGTAAACATTCCCATGATGGCAGTTTTTACCTGAGCACATTTTAATCTGACAGAAATTTCCTGTAGTTGCCGTTCAGCCCTTTGACATATATCACAGCCATCTCCTTCAAACGCCATACTGTTGGCTAACACAAATAGATTGCCCTGGATATCCATCATACGCACGGATGGGGTCTTGAAAGCTTTCTTGAAGCGGTTTATTTTATGACCAGTCATCCTAAACGAGGCAGCAAAGCTGTCAAATGTACAGACAAAAAAACAGAAAATAAAGATGCAAATAAGTGAAAAATTAAATTTTCACAAAAAACTGTTTAACTGCCAGAAAAAATTACCAAAC